CGCTCCCGCACTGTCCAAAAATGTCCTTACCCATAAGGACCGTACACTGACCAGTTTTCTGCGTGTCTTTAGTTTTGAAAGCCCAGTGGTGGGATCTGTTCTTCTGTCCAATTACTGATCATACGTTCCAATAACTTTTTTTGTTATTACAATCTGGTTAGCTAGCTATGCTAACAATATACAAAGCTTTTCTCCAACCAGTGGAGGTAAAGGCACATCTTTAATAATAAATCATTATAAGGTTATTATAAAAATAAGAGAATAGGTAAACAGGTAATAAAATCCTATATGACAGTAAAAACTTTTAATTAATAAACAAGAATACAGCTTGAAGGGGAGTGATTTGTAAAATATCCCATAAAGAAAAGAAAATCTGCTAGTTCGTTTCATCTGGTGTTGAGAGATGTAAATCCAATAGAGCTCCTAATTTTGGCTCTCAAAGTGCAACCAAGATCGATGCTTTAACTTCAACATTTAAAAATACTCTTCCCCGGGGGAGCATCCCTCACAGACCCCCCTAGAGGGAGGTTTAGGTTCCCCCCCACACACAACACACCACCTTAAACAATGTCACATGGATAGGAAAACTTAATACATTTGCATTTGTGTCCAAACTTTCCTTGTTTTGCCCTGAATGCATGCACCGAGTCATGGTAAGAATATCTGGATTGAGAGGTTGCTTTTCCTTGCACAGCAATGGAAAGAAAGGCCAAATGAATGGGCCTTGTGATTTTAGTTATTTTTTAAGCAGAGGTTCAATAATATTTTTACGAGCCTTCGGGAAAGGGGGGATGTTGGAAAATGTTAAAGCCCTTGAGAGGAAAAAAGTTCCCCACCCCCCTGCCTATATGAATCATTGTTCTGATAATGATGAGAGCCCGCCTCCCTCTCCCCAACGTCTTCTGCTGCTGCTGGGCTGTCCAGAAGAGGGGAGGGAAAAAAAGAAGAGGAGGCACGGTTTATTAATATTATTATATTATCATACAGGAGTCGTTATCTAATTTTGTTTAAGCTCAATAAATAAACAAAGAAAGACCTCTGACCTCCACTTTTTCTAAATTTTGTAAAACGGAAACTTTAACGGACATGTTGAACCGGCGGAACAGTTTTTTTAACGGAAACTGGCGCACGGGTCCTCTCGTTCCTTGAAGAGGGCGGAGAGGTGGGCTGTTTTTCATCTGCTGGTGGACTACTGAGGAGGATATACAGCAGGAGAACACGCGCCGTCCCACCCCCGGGAGAATAAAACCAGAAGGGCAACCATCGGGGCAACATGGCTCCCGGGGTCTTCTTCGCTGCTTTTGGTGTATTTTGTGGCGGCAGCAGCGCCACTTACCGGCCTGGCATATGTACTTCAGCGTTTTCAGCATTTCCAGCGGTCTAGTGTGAACGGACACGTTAATGAATCGAATGCGTGTGAACGGAAGCCTTTTTTGCGCTTGCGTATGCGTTTTACCGTATGCGTCCTCGTGGGGCCGGGGTCTAAGCCAAACTATATCCGGTCACAGAGATCTGCTATTTTAAAGTAAAGTCAACACATATCGACCCTAAATATAGTCTATATTAAGAACGAGAAAAGTCTTAACATCGTTTTTTGCGAACATATGACAAATGTGTGAGGGCTTAGCCCCGGACAGCCACAGCCCAATTTAACCTCTGGGTATTTGTGAGGGAGCTCCTATATGGCATTACCCCGCTGAAGCTCACCAAAGTTTAATATATTTCATAGTTCAAAGTTTTGTCAAGTGTTTTGTTTATTGGTCAAATACTGGTTTCTAATGGTTTCTGAGGAGTTTTACTGGAATGAAAGAGCACAGTCTACAGAAGCAACAAAGCAGCATACTGCATTAAACCTGATCTTCACAGAGAGGTTGAAGTTCATGTGGAAAGGAGGCTTCAGTAGTCTGTCTGCACTCTGTTTAGTTTTGCTATCTCACAATCAATATAGTAAATGTGAGGTAAAGTGTGTTGCCAATGTAACCGGTTAGAACTCAAAGTTGCGATGAGGTCTTAACATGTATGGAAAGGGTCTTGAAAAAGGTCTTAAAAGGTATTAAATTTGACTTCAGGATTCCTGCATATACCCTGGATAATTCATTCTATTTAGGGGCGCCTTTCAAAGCATCAAGGACACCTTACAATTCATAACATATTCCAAGGAAAGGTTTTAAGACAGTACAAAGAATGCAGTCCGGGTGATGTGTTTTATGTGGGGTGCAGATGAGAGGGAGCTGTCCAGAATGACAACAAGATGTTGTATTTGAGTTCTTGATAAGCCATTAAAACAGTAAAATAAGTGTCTCCTGTTCCCCAAAACATACCCATCTGTTATGGAAAAAGAAAGTATTCCAAAAGTAATCTGAACACGTTACATTTTTAACTTAAGACACGTAACTGTATTCTGATTACTTTCAGAGCATGTATTCAGTATTCAGTAACTGATTACATTTACAAAGTAACCCTCCCAACCCTGACTGGAAGTGATACTTCGTTAGCGTGGAGAGTCTGCTAAGCTTTATGCGGTCCGTAGTACCTGAGCGTGCTCCCCCCCCCCCCGGGTAATTTTTCAAAGCAATAGTGGATTTTCAGCATTGTTAAACAACAGTCATCGTTATCATTTTGAAATGTCCTTGAGCAACAAAATTTGTGCCAGTTACTGCCTCTGATACAGTATCACTCGTTATTATTCTATCAAGTGTAATAAACCCTTATTGATTTAACAGAACCAGTCCCTGACCTTTGGAACATTGGAGTCTTATTCTAATGTAGTGACATTTGCTGTTGGCTCTTTTTTATCCTCTGCTGAACATATTAGCTGTAAAGATGAATTGACTACAACAAACTTTCACAATTAGTTTAAAACCTATTCAAGGTAAACCAATATTTATGAATCTGTAATATTGTTAACTGTATGTTCATATATTACACAATGCAGTTAGAATAATTGAGAGGATTTCATGGTATTCTTCAATCTTCAAAATAGTGCGCTCAAATCAAGTTTTTACGAAACCATTCTAACAGAATCAAGGATTGGCTCTTTTATTTCAGTTGTATGTTAAGAATTTCATGCCCACTTGCTTATGTAATTGGGAAATACAATTTTTCATTAACAATACCTGACAAACTACAGGATAAAAGGAACAAAGATCACATAAAATAAAGGTGTGTCTTACTTGCAGGTGTGGATAGGTGTACAGAGGTGAGCCTAAACTGGAAAGTTGTTAGCCATGATGTGTGTCCTTCATCTTGTGTTAAAACATTAGTATATTACACAGGGTTTGATTATTATGTTTAAATATACAAATATTTTTATTTTTTATTTTTTCCTTCACAACTCCATATCTTTAAAGTTGCGTTTTGTCTTACGTTAAAAAAAGCCTTCAATAGACAGTGTTTGTAGTATTTTTTTCTTTTTTCAAGAGGGGGTGGAGTTGGGCAGGAGCAATTACAAGTGGTTTCGTCAGACGCACTGAGAGAGGAGTATTAGTATACGAGCTTGAGGAAGTAGAAAAGTTTTTGTCCAAAGAAACCCTGACATCTTCTGCATCATGAGCTCTGAAACTATAACCGTGAAGACCGGTGAAGCGGCAGCTGCTGTTGACATTGTTGCAGCTCCAAAGAAAGCGGAGTGGAAGGTAAGAGGCAACATGATTCGCACCACACGATGTGGCCTCCATGGCCATCAGATAAGATACTAACCTGTCCTCTGTGTCCTCCAGTGCCCTCTGAGTGATCATCATGTCCACAGAGAAGATGTGAGAAAGGTTTGGAAAGAGTGCCAAGAGGAAAGCTTCTGGTACAGAGGTATTCTCTTCTTAACATTCAACACATTCATAATGATAATTTTCTATCATTCTAGCAAACAATCAAGCCAACAAATCTGTCAAATGACACACTGTGAATACACACCACGTGTCTTTTGTATATTCTTCAAGGTGTATTTGACAAGTGTTTAGTAGTAGAAGTAGTCGGGCAGGGCTAATCTATCAACACCCCTTTTTACTAAACACTCTGTTTACATTTACCTCTGGAATTCATCCGGCTCCCAAAAACACTCCCGTATGTGGACCCAGAGTGACGTTACAAATGGCATAAAGAGATTTGTTATTGCCATGTTACACTTACACTACCTTCTTTTTATGCTAACAGTGGGTCGATTTTAAAACGGTCTATATTCTGTGCTTATTTGTAATCCTTTGTACGGAGTTCAATGAATTATTACAACTGCGCAGAGTTCCTAAGGTTACTCTGGTCGGTAAGATCTCGTTTGAAGTGTAGGTTGGTTGGAGCTAAGCCAGGGGTGTGCTCAGGTCACCCAAGCCTTTATATTAGGCTAAACCCCGGAACAGCACACAGAATGTTGTGGAGACGGTTGTTAGCATAGGCTGCTGGAGCTAGCTTAGCTGACCAGCTACGATCCACAAACTGGTCCTTGTTTACAACACTTTGTCTTCAGCCCTGATCCCTGTCCTTCATCTCACTGCCAACTAAGCAGCTGCTGTTTGTATTCTGTCACTACGCAGTTATATAAACATGAAACAGCACTTCCTCAATGAGGAGTCCAGTCCTTTTTCTCTTAGAAGGTTGACACATTTTTGGGTCCCGTCCTTTTGCTCTAAGGAGGTAGACAGATTTTTGAGTCTCGATACTTAACAGGTCAAAGTTCAGTCAGTTTGAACTCTATTCAATCGAGGCACAATCAATCTATGACAAGAGATAAAAGTAGCTTTCACAGGAGCAAATTAGTGTTCAATCAGTCAAGAATCTATAAAATAACCATTGTGAATATACCATTGTTGTATTATATGACCCTGTTCTCTTTCTTTCTTTAGCCCTTCCCCTCTCTATGGGGAGCATGGCTGTCACCGGTGGTCTTATCTACAACGGTAAATCACTAATAGTCAAACCCTGTTCTTGCATCATATCATAATCGCACAATGAGGCTAAGAACAAGTTTATTTCCATGCAGGTGTCTGGCAAACGTCAAAGAGATTTGGACCATTCCCAAAACTCTTAGGTGTGTACCGACCAGTGTCTTTGACTTTCTAAGCAGGAATGCCTTTATAAATCCTTAAGCAATCATGACTAACTATGATTAATTTCTTTCAGTTGCTGGGATCCTTGGTTTCGCAGTGGGAAAAGCATCTTATGTATCGACCTGCCGAAACAAATTCCAGGAGGTTGGCATTGAAGGTGGACCGGGATCTGGACCCTGGGCTAAGGGAGGTTCCTTTGGACCTTTCAATAAATCTGGTCATGGACACAGGTGGGGAATACAGTATTTCCTTGAAAACAAATATTACTAAAACCCCACAGATGCTGCAGCATTATGAAATGTTGCCACACACTACTAATGTTGTCTTTTTTTTAGCTTCAAACATTGGAAATAAATGCCTTTTTAAACAATTGATTTTTACAATTGAATCTGTCCTATTTGTGCGTCAACATTTCTGCTTTAATAAATAAATGATTATAATAATGAACGCTGACCAGATTGTTATCCCTGCAGATCGTGCCACCATGTGTGTGAAGAATGTAAGAAGAAGGCTCAAGATACACCTGCAGAACAAGTGAAAAGCTAGAGGTAAACAGATCCTATCTTGGCAGAGATATTTGAAAACATATTTCGCGCACAGCTCTGAAGCTATTAAAAAAAAGGTTAGTGCACAAGTAAGTGACTAATAAAACTACTATTATTACTTGAAAATTGCAAATCTTCAAAATAAGAAAACAAGTAGAACATGATAAAGTATTTGACTGTCAGGTGTGCTTATGTTTTACCATGGTAAAGTAATGTGCTGTTGATGTATTCCTTTTTACTTTTCAGGATCGTCAGAAACACTGAAGGACTGACTGCCAGTGTATATCACTTTTTTTAGTTTCTTAAATGCCATGAATACAGCGTATATTTTGTCTTAAGTAACTTTGATATGTTGCACATCATTATTCATTCAGGGGAAACCTGACACAAAATTGCCACCAGGGGTAGCTCTCATGCTTTTAGTCAAAGATCCTTTGTAATGTATTTCATCTGACCATATACCATTTTATTTTCATATAGCGAGTGCCTTAATCAGATGTAATCAGTCATTTGATTTTAATTATCAGCTTATACTTTTCAACAACTTTCCAAAACAATAAATACTCCATATAATATAAAACAAGTTGTCTGTATTTCTTACTATTACTTGTTTTAGCATTGTTTAATGAGCAATGTAGGTCAACAGATTAAAACAAAAACAAAACAAAAATATATATGGAAATGTTTCTCATTCCAAACATTTCAAGCAATTCACCATCTGGTTAGGGACGGGTATCTCAGGAGAACGCTTTAGCAGAGTTGAAGCTGTTTGTGTGACGTTTTCTATTATTGTGCTTTTATGTGTGTATCATCCAACTAACAAACATTAAGAAGCTCTGTCAGCCCTTACATTTGACACAACCGAGCAATATTTAAAAGCATCTCTCACACTATTGGTCGTGGTAAACTCAAATAAAATGCAGGTTAAGTTTGATTCACTTTATTTGTTTGAATATATATCGAGTTATTCAGAAAATGAAATACAGAAATAAATGTAAAAAGAAAATAATATAGTGTAGCGACTCTGATAGGATGCTGAGGGTGTCACTCAGGTATCCCCCGTCTCTCTGCCAATCATAGAGCTGTACCGGGATACTGGTTGAGGGCGGGCCTGTGGTTGTGGTAGCAGACGGGGGAGGGCGGGAAGTGGTGACGTAGTCTGGGTTATAAAGGTGTGTGTGTGTGAGAGTTTAGGAGAGTGTGAGGTTGAACCTGCAAGTGATATCTGTACCTGTGATCTTCAAAGAAAATAAGTGTTATTAAAGCCTAATAACTAGAAGCCTATTTCCGACTCCCTCTGTGAACGTTACAATATTAAAGGTCCCATTTCATGGCGATTTCCACTGATCATAATTCCATTGTTGATGTCTACTAGAATATATATATATATATATATATATTGCATCTCTGTTAACTGCGTGTATTCACTGAATTTCACTCTCTGCCTTTAACGGCTCGTTGTAGCTCCAATAGCTCCAGTCCCCACCCACCCTGTGAATCGCGCTGAGCTCCGTGGAGGTATGGTTTCCTTGTTTAGCGACAGCCAAACTCATCCTGAGCACACACAAAGTCACAGCCGAAGTAAAAACAATAAGTGTGGCTTGATATTGAGTAAGAAAAAGGTTGATAAACGCTGTGAGAATGGGTCTGCAGAGAGAATTTCGCCGCGATCCCAATTGTCTGTTATCAGCCTGCAGCCAGGGAGGAGAAATCAGCAGAGCTGCATGCACTGAGTGCGTGTGTGTGAGGAAGTCCGTGGATTGGTCAATGTGGACCAATCAGCGGGGGCTTAACGTAACGGCTCCACGGACGTAACTTAACGGCTCCACGGATTGGTCCATTTGGTTCCGGGTACCGCATGACCGTATCGCGTCATAGGTCTGGACGCAGCTACTGGCCATTCCTACGTCACGATACCCAGGAAGTAAACAATGGACAATGACGTATATCCAACGAGGCGTTTTGGGGTTATGGCTAGAAAGGATCCGTCTTGTGTAAATATGACGTCACGTTCTCGTTGTAATCGGAGCGGCTCGGAAACACATCTACAGCAGTAACACGCAACATACACATTAATGCAGCAGCAATATTAATAGATAAACATCAGACATAATAGTAAAACACTGACAGGGAACATTTTATTGCACCAGGAGCTATCTTGGGACTTTTACTGCGACAACTTTGACTTGCCTGTGAATAAAAAATAAACCAGTGTTGGTGATCTACAGTGTTGTCATTCTTCTTTGAACAGCAAGACCGCTAACACCCAATTTCAACAATCACACTCCCTGTAATTGACATAATTAATAGATAGTTTAGCTTCTCACCATCATTTGCTGTGGTGGCCCACTGATGTTAACGATCGTAACTGAAAGGCTGCCTGCCAAACGTAAACATTCAGCCACGTGACTTGCAAACTCTCGCGAGAGTTTTACACAAGACTGATCCTTTCTAGACATAACCGCGTTTTGGGGAGGTATTTTCTGTGTTAGAGTTTTACTCGCTACAGGGTGTACTTTGAGGGTTTTGACTCTGCACACCGTTCACATGCATAAAAACCTTCATAATACACAAGGGGACGAGTAATAACCGGAAAAGCATGACATGGGACCTTTAAGAAATAGGAAAATAAATAAATACAAAAGTGTTTTTCAAATTAACTTGCATTTATTTGATAACTCAGACTTTTTACATTACTTTCTTAAAAATTTTTATTAAGTCATTTATTTATTATAATTGCTTTAGTCCTCCATAGTAATGTGAGACAGTGTCTCAATTTTTTTATCAACATGTATCACTACAATGGACAGTGTTTATATGGGATGTTAGTGAGTTTTAAAATAAATATTACCTGAAATTGACTATTCTGCATAATGTATGTATACTTTTTATTGGTCTATTTTGATGCTAATACTTAAAGGTGGGGTAGGTAATTTTGGAGAAACCAGCTCGAGTGCGCTATAATTTGAAAATACACAGCCGGAAAAAATCTGCCACTTCCTTACAGAGCCCCTCCTCCAACACACACGAACGCGCACATGACCAATGAGGGCACGAGATAAGTTTGTGCACAGATGGAAGGCTGACAGGCAGGTAGGCCATCCAGTTATTTTAGCAGGGCCGGCTAAAATGATTGGTTGTGCTTTTTACAGTACTACAGCTTCCACAGATGACATTTTTTAATGGATTTTTTGTCAAACCACTTAAGATATTCATTGCTATCGGGATGTTAAGAGCATTCCAAGGAATATAACAAAAACTGTTTCTCGAGCCGGTTTCTCAAATTTACCCCACCTGTAGATTTTAAATGCAACCTAAACATTTTATTTTTACAGAGTGGAAGTACTAATTGCACTTAAGAAAACCTTTTTAAAGCACAGTCAAATGCATAGCTTGCAGCCCCAATTAATGACACAACAAAGAGAAAATGACTGATTTTGCATTATTTTTAATTCATTTAGAACGAAGTAAATGGGACAGTCATCAGAGGGCAATTCACATACAAGCTTAACAAATATCTTACTACATTCAGTTGTCTCAAAAACATGTTAAACTTATTTTTTCCCTTTCTTTTTTGCATCTTTGCCTTTGACTGGTGCCTCCTCTTCTTCCTTTCCTGTCGCAGCTTTAATCCTCTTCTTTCCCAGAGGGGTCTTTGCATACCAGTTCTGATGATACACAAACAAGAGAAACAAGAAAACAACATTAATTTACAACAAAGCCATTATAATTGTGCAAAATATGGTACTGTATATGCACTGACCTTCAGGGCCTCTTCTTCCTCCTGAAACACAGGGTCAATCTTGGCTAGTGGAGCCACAAACTCTGCGGCCGTCAGCGGTCTCTTGGCCTGCTGCAGGGTGCGGCGCTTGGTGACGATGCTCTGGATCACCTGGACCATGTGACCTGGTGTGTAGCCATCAGAAATCTTCGCAAGAGAGCCGAGGTCCAGCGCCCTGGTCACATCCCCGCCCTGCTTCCTGATCAGTCGGTTCCACAGGACTGAAGGCAAATGGATTCAAAGGTACATTTTCCAACAACCAAAACTCAAGTGCTACCAAAATGTGTAAATTCTTACTGCATCTTGAGCCGTAGTCCGGTCTTGGGATGAGAATGATCTTGCTGTACATTTTACAAAGTGACTTGATGTCGGCACTCAGCGGGTCTGTGGATGTTCCCACTATCAGAACACGATCCTCCCCTTTGATCAACTTCAGAGACTTTGGCAGGTCTTTCTTCAAGCGCTTGGGATCCAACTGAGAAGACAATGTTTCGAATGACCATGCAAATTGAAAACTGAAACATTTCATTCGATAATGCTGTTCAGAGTTTTGTCCGGCTCAAAAATACCTCTTTTTCTTCCTTGGGAACCTTCTTGTAGAACATTTTCTCTGCGTCTTCGATCCATATTACCGAAGGTTGCAGCAATCTTGCAACCTACGCAGAGATGGTCATAAAAAAACTGCCTTTCTTACTTTCTGGATGAGCCAAAATAAAAATACCTGCTAGAGACAATACTGCAAATTAACTCATGCTCCACCAAATTCACCATCAAATATTAAACTTCACCAATAGTGCTACAAAACGACAACATACTGCTCCACATTCCAGAAATAACGGCAGTAGAAATGTCCCCTTTTTTAGGTTATATTTCTCTACTTAGTACTTAGCCATAATGGATGAATTCTTACATATACTGTACGTAAGGGGTGCCCATTACGTCGATCGCGATCGACCGGTCGATCGCAAAGGTAGTGTGGGTAGATCGCATGGCATTGAAAAAAAGAAAATGTAAAGAAAAATTTTTTTATTTTTTTATTTTTTTTAAAGTTAGCCTATCATCCATCCTTACTATGGCATTTGCCACTTGATTGACTTACAGGTAAGCCAGTCTGAGTTGTATTGTGCCATACAGGTTCATGCAGTTATAAGAGGGCCTCACCTCCTCATCTGAAGCGCAAATGCAGCGCACTATTATGCGCTTATGCGGCGCAATTAGTGTAAGCGCGCCACAGTTTATCTGCCGTTTACTCCACTAGCACCCCCCCCCCTCGCGCTCGCGACACAGATTGGGCAGGGGTGGCCCTGTAGGTAGATCTTTTGGGCTTGGTCATTTATTGCTGCAAATGTGTAGTCAGGAATTATGAATTAAATGGAAAGAATACCTCACAGCAGTTCTTGAAATAAAATAACCACTATCATTACAAACTTAAATGTTAATCATGGGAGGCTGTGGCGCAGTGGACTAGTGCGTTGGTGTTCGGATCAGGGGAGCACAGGTTCAAACCCAACTGCAGTCAGCATGTCTGTTGTGTCCCTGGACAAGACAGACAATGTCTGTTGTGTCCCTGGTGCTACACAAATAAATAAATGCTCCTGTGGGGATAGCCCATAGTATTGAGTATGTTAGTCGCTTTGGATGAAAGCGTCTAAAAAGTAACATGTAATGTAATGGTTCTTTCACATCCCGCAGTTACCTTGAACACCATGTGGAGCATCATGGCGAGGCCACTCTTGCCCGGGTACTTCCCTGCCGTGTTCAGAGGGGACAGATCGAACAGGTTGGCTCCCGTCTCCTGGCAGATTGCATGGATCAACATCTTCTTACCCACTCCTGCGGGCCCTGCCAGTAGGATGGCCTTTATCAGTGGAGCCTTCTCATGAACATACTGAGAGCCTGCAACAACACACACCTTATAATCAAACCAGAGACAAACATCATATTCATTTAATGTTGAATTGAATACAGCTTCATACCTAATGGTAAAACAGCATATAGAGATAAGACCTGCCGCACATCTGACAGTGATGGCATGGGCTCGATGTCATTTTGCCTGAGTGTAGTCCCAAGGTAGCTGTAATCACCTAGGTGACACAATGGATCGACTGTTAAAGAGTTATTAAACACTGCAAGTAAGGCATTCAAATACATTTTCTTTCATTGTGATCATAGTGTTGTGGCAAGCCGAAACCAGAAGAGGGTGGCACATCAACACTAAATTATTTCTAGTGACGTTTACAGTTTCAAAGAGTAAGCGCTGTACTTTGTTTCGTTGATTGCAATCGAATTTATAGCTCACGTACATTTATGATGATAAGTCTAACACAAAGAGAGATCTCAATAACCAGTTTAATAAACAATAAACAAAGACTTACCCATGTAATCCTGCAGCCTAACGTTATTAGCCTGTTTCAACAAGCCCTGCTCCACCAGCTCCTGACACAGAGACTCCAGAGTCCTAGAAGACGGGAATAAACAAAGCAACAGTTTAAACAAGCATTGACTAATAGTGGGCTTCATATGGACTCACTTCTATACTGACATTTCTTTTCACATGTGCATCATGACTGTTCATTAGGGGGCACCTGGGGGGTATACTACGAAGCAGGATTTTCGCTTAGCCGGCTAACTTCAGGGAAAACTCGGGGTTTCCGGTCCTACGAAGCTGGTTCTCTTTTTAGCAGGCTAGATCTCCATGGTAACTTATGCTGTGCGGCTAACCTGCCCCGGTGCAGGTTAGGTTGCAGGCTAAGAGCTCAAGTCAGTGAAAGCACTGCCTACTGACCAATCAGAGCTCAGTGTGCGGAGTTTAAAGCGATCAAGTCACATTACAGGAGAAAGGAAATACAGAAAAACTGCCGTTGCAGGAAAGACGGCCGGCAAAAATCCCCGACTGTGTGAACATTAATAGAATATCATCTTCAGAGCAATCTGACTATTATAACATTAGCGTTAAGAAAGCTTACTTAAATATCTGCCACAACATAAGTAACCGGATCAGAGTAACATTAAGTATAGTCCGCGGCATATCACAACATAATGTATCATATATTTCCTTATCTGAGTCAGCTGAGCCGTATCTGGCCGTGCAACACTCACAGTGTATGCAGTATACTGTATGCAGAAGTATTATTTTAAGCAACACATTAAGTTGACGAAACACTCGAGTCAAATGTAATTAAAGTCAGATCGTGTCTNCAACTTAAGATCCATATTCAAAATACAGAATCAAAATTGTACAAGTTGAAGCTTTTGTTTTAACAGTTTGCAGGAGGCAGGTACTTTCTTTCAAGCAGAACACGGGGGAAAACAAACTTAGCGGGAATGTTTACGTGTTCGGTGTAATGATGTACAACGGCCTCGACAACTTCTGTAGTCCTATTCAGCTACTTGTTAACAACCATTATTTTTCAGACACGTAAACTCTTCAGAAATCACCAGTGCTGATGTATTTAATGTTGTAGAACAAAAACGTGATCCCTCTCTTAAATGTGTGTCAACCACAGACCTTATTTCGAGCTATTTTCCAAAATCCTATGGAGAAATTGAATTGCTTTTTTGTTGAGGGAACCGGAAGTGGTAAAATGCTAACTTACTTCCAGGTTTTAGGAAGCATCACTACACCACTCTATATGGTCGGTGTTTACATTAGCATCGCTAACACTCAGAGCTAACCTGATACTGTTTTATATCAAAGACCACATATCATGTAATGAGGTTCAATTTTCTGCTGAGAATGAGCTTGAGCATATCTGTCTTAATGTTAGCCTGTCACCACAGATGTCTTTCATTCTCATTGGAGTGTACTGACCACCATCTGCAAAAGCTATTTTCTTTGACAAATTAGAAATAATGCTTAGGGAATGCAGTTTTGCTTAGGATATACAGTAGTATTAATGGGTGACTTCAATGTTAATTGGGAGGACAAAGCAAGTAATATGGCATTAGAACGGGTATCAAATCAATTTGATCTCACAATTAATTAAGGGGCCTATTAGAATAACCACATCCTCAAAAACCCAAATTGACCTGATTTTCAGCAACAAACCTGAAAGGGTGACAACAATCTTCAATATTGTCACTGGTCTGTCTGACCACAATCTAACTCTCATAGCCAGAAAGCTCACTAAATCCTGCTTCCATTTGAAACCCAACACAACATTTTACCAATTAAGAATACCCAAGAGTGATATTGATGAATTTGACAGGGAAATTAAAAACATTAACTGGAGCCAAATTGTATCTGGTACAGATGTGGATACCAACAGTGGTGTAGTGGGGGATTTTTTTACTGCTTTATTTTATTTCTATCTTACTATTTATTTTTATTACAGTGTTCTTAATATAGTTCGCTATCTGTGTACTTTTTTATTTTTTTTATTTGTATGTACGACACCTAGTCAAATTCCTCGTACGTGTGAACCTACCTGGCAATAAACCCGTTTCTGATTCTGATCTTTTTGTCCTCTAGGTTGCACTGCCACGTCTACAGTAGCGCAGAATGGACAGAGGAAACATGATTGGGCCTCAAGTTTTTTGCAGCCAATATATATTATCCTACAAACTTGGGATAGGAGGGTGAGTGAACAAGTTAGCCATTGGTTGAAACCTACATCCCCATTGTTAGACGTACTAAATCCTGCACACTGCTCCTTCAAATTGACAATGTGAACATATGTCGCCATTTTGCAATTTCTGTTATTTTCAGTTGAGAATGTTTCAAAGTAATCTTAAAAAATTCAACTTACTTTTTGTTTCTACTGTTTATAAGTATGATGTTTAAATATTAAATGCTGTATTCATTAGTTGTACTATAATTCTACAAATATTTTTATATTTTAAGTTTTCAGAGTAATTGTTTCCTACAGAACATTTTGTTGAATTTATTTGATTGGAAAATGTTAGAAAAAAGCTGTAAAATAACAGTATTCTTGTTATGATTCTGTTTAGTTTTGATTTTGTTGTGTGCTCTTTTTGTGTTTTTTGCTGTCTCCCCCCTCCGTTCTCTGTTTTCGGCCCATTCCCAAACCGCCCCCTACACCCTACCCCTACACCCTACCCCTCCGTTTGCGCGTTCAGGCGGAGGGTCCGCCATATTGAGGGCTGTTCCAAACCAACGAGTGTGGAGCGGTGTGGAGGGGGAGTGGGCTATCAAGCCCTCAAACAACGAGGCCGTTTCTCAATCGCGAGGATGCTTGCTTGGTAGCACATGTCTCCCGAGTCACTTCCTTCAGAAGCTAGGCAAGAATCCTTCCTGGCATTCGGAAAACAAAGAGTGGAACAGGCTAGCAAGTGTGCAGGTGTGCGTCATACGAGAGGCCCCGCCTTACATTTTCCACCACAGATTTGGGGAAATTGCTCCGTGCGCAAAGCATTGTGGGGATTTGAAGGACGCAAAGTCTACCCATGTGCAGCCTCGAAATTACCCCCAAACCAAGGACGCGGCCTCGGTGGAATTCCAAGTATGCTGGAGATTGGAACAGTCCTTCAGCGGCACTCGATGACGTAGTATCCTTGAAATATTGGCTTGGAAGCCAGTTTCCTCGCGATTGAAAAACGGCCCGAGTCTGCAGCGGTGCTGACTTGAGACCGGTCTCTACCTGACCGGAGTCACGCTGTGTGTGTCCGTCAGGAAACACGCTGTTTACAAGTAGTTCCAGCAAACATCCACTGATAAATTGCAATGTTAACAACCTCATGATAACCTCATATGTTTTAACTTAGGATCATATTTGTGTTTAGTCTAGAACAAGGTAAATGTATGCTTTTTATTATAAAGTTGTGTATATACAGACTGTGGCAAAAACTAAGAAGCTTACTGTATAAACATCAGGTTTAAAACTAAAAGAGCTTTACAAAAAAGTAACACAATGAAAGATGTTTGGAGTTTTATTTGAGTTATTAATTTACATTTTTTGTCTAAGAGATGCTGATTTGAAACCGTTGTTACATACAGTTACGGCATTTCCTGTTTCTGCCGGAGAGAGGGGAGGCCGTCCCAAAGCTTGCTGCTTTATTTATACCCTTAACCCTTAATGGAGGGAACTTCATTCAGCTGCGAGTGTGGATACGGACGAAATTCACTCCGTCACGGAGGGGTAGGGTCGAGGGAGTGGTTTGGGATTGGGCCTGAATGGTGATTGTAAAAACTACACTGCGCATGCTCAGAATATTGTCCTATTTAATGTGTGTGGCAAAAAAATAATGACCATAGGGGCACTGAGCTGCCATCTCCACCATACGTCATCTCACATAATTCAGAGCTGATTGGCTGTAAGTACATGTGCCGCGAAAAATGTGGTGTGTGAAGAGGGGAGGAGAGAGCTGCAGTGACGCGTCCTAAAACCCGGAAGTAAGCTGCGCATGGCTTCCCTCGACAAAAAAGTAATGAGATTTCTCCATAAGATTTTAGAAAATAGCTCAAAATAAGATCTGTGGGAAACAAACCTGTTAGATAAATACACGTTTTGTTCAGCCGGATAAAATCCACATGTCTACCCTACTTTTATAATTTTTGAATCATAAATCTATCGATTAGATTTATGATTCGACTTTTGAAACTACAAGAAGATAAGGAGGACTTTTGAACAAAAGTAATAGAGATTTTTGTCCAAAAGGATAGGCAAATGGACTTCATCTTCAAGTCAAGGTAAAACCGCAATTTTATTGAAAATGGGATCTTACTAAGAGAGAACGATTCAATATTTAAATGATAAAATTAAATTTTTTGGGTATCCTTTGGTGGAACTGTCTGTTTAAAATTAATCGAAGCATCAGACAAAAAAAGCTTTTGAAAATAATATTATATTTTGATTTAGTTCAAAATATAATATTTGTAAACCTGAAGAGTCAGTGCCTCACCAGCCATGAACCTCACTGCACGTCACTGCAGAAGCTTACAGTATATATAGACATCTAAGTTTTTTGTGCCCCATCACTTTTGTACATATAAAAACGCCACTGATCATGTGTGACCTCACCTGTCAGCTGTTAAATCCTTCTCCTTTTTCTTCTTCTTCCCACTCTTAGATCCTTTCTTTTTCTGTGGTGAAAATCATTGGTAGACAGCTCAGGGTAATCATTATAAACTGTGACCAGCCCTTCCAGACGTGTGTTGGATTTTCTCTCACTTATTACCTTAGCATTCGCTTTGGCTTTCCCACCCTTGTCTTTATCCACAGCTAGCTTCCATTCAGCCAGCTCTTGTCTCATCTGCTCATCTACCTGTTAGAAGCAGAAGAGACCAGAGAGTGCAGCTACAGGTGGTGCCGTGTTAAGTTTGGTTTTTCAATTCCTAAAATGTGTTGGTTTTCTATAGACAGCATCACCTTCACTCGAATCTCTTCCTCAATCATTTTCCTCCTTTCCTCCTTGATCAGCTCC